ACCAACTCAAAGACATTGGAATGATATTAAACATATTTTTAGTTACTTAAAGGGTACTATTGATTTGAGATTATTTTATTCTCAAAAGTCAGGATTTACTTTAGTGGGATATGCAGATGCATGTTATCTATCTGACCCATATAAAACTAAATCACAAACAGGTTATGTGTTTACACGTGGAGGAACGATTATATCATGGAGATCTGTGAAACAATCATTGACAGCTACATCTTCAAATCATTCTGAAATTAATGCAATCCATGAATTAGGCCGAGAATGTGTATGGTTAAGAAACATGACCCATCATATCCAAGCATCATGCGGATTAATTTCAACAAAGGATAATCCAACAATTTTGTATAAAGACAATGCAGCTTGTATTGCACAACTCAGAGGAGACTATATTAAAGGTGATATGATGAAATATATTTCTCCAAAATTCTTTTATACACATGAGTTTCAAAAGAATGACGATATCGATATCCAACAAATTCGCTCAAGTGACAATGTGACCGATTTATTCACAAAAGTATTGCCAACATCTATATTGAAGAAATTAGTTTATGAGATTGGAATGCGCCGATTCAAAGATTTTCAGTGATCAATATTAGGGAGAGTAGCTGCACTTTTTTTCCTTAACTTAGGTTTTATCCCACTGGATTTTCCTAGTAAGGTTTTAATTAGACGGCATTTATTTTTAGTACTCCAAAATAATTGTATTTTTTCCTTCGTTTGATTTTTTTCCTATTGGGTTTTTATCAAATAAGGTTTTAACGAGACAGATATTTTGTAATGTGTCATTCAAGAGGAAGTGTTGTAAAAGGAAAATTTATTAGGGTTTAGAGATAAATGACAATTATACCCATGCAGCTCTAAAAATAATTACTATTGTATCCCTAATTCAATCCTATCAATACAGGGCTTTGATTTTTAATAAAACACACAAGTTTATTGACTTCTCTCCGTTCTCTTCTCTTTTCTTCACTTTATAACAGGTTTCTATTATTGAGCTTAATAAGTAATTACATTGAGTCGGGAATAGAATAAGATAGTTGTAATATAATCATTTTAAAAGTATTTCCAAAAAGAATGGAGTATGAAATAGAAGTGGAGCAATTCCATGCTACAAATGCAAACATTTTAAAATTAAAAGGTAGTTTTTGTATGTTATCCGAATATTGAAATTGAAAATCTCTCAATGAACGTCACATTTTTACGCCAATCAACAAACACCAATCACCCAAGTTAATTATAATTAACCTTGTCTTGAAAATTAAATCACCAAAACAATAATTCAAAATAAATAAATAATTCAAAAAGTATAATAAATAATATAGTTCAGTTACACATTTTAATAATAATTAAAATGCATGTGAAAAAATAATAAACTTAAAAAGTGATTAAGACTCTGTATGGTACTTCTAAAAAAATTAATTAAACTACACATATCATCAATTTTTACCAAAATTTGCTAAAAATATCTTAAAGCGTTTCCTAGATATTCTAAATAGTATATTCTATCATTTGTAGACCATACATAAATGTAGAAAATTAAAATTTTGAAGTACTCTAGCAATCTCTTTATATTCAACATTTAATTTCACTACTCCCAAAAAATAGTTAATATTTTTCTCTATCTTTCTTTTTAACTAACTTTTCATTTAAAATATTTTTTTATTTTTTATATTGAAAATTGAAGCACTTTAAATGCATTTAATTATAAAAAATAAGTTTGACTCTCCAAATTTGAAGAGTCAAACTCACTCTTTTAATCTAAATGTTAATTTAAAGAATTTCTCGGAGTATGATTTGAAAGGTTAAGAGTATCTCCAAGACTTTCTATTTTTAAATAATATATTTTATCATTTAGAGAGTGTCTATAAATTTAGAGAGTTAAAATTTTGAAATATTCTAACAAACTCTTTATATTTAACACTTAATTTTACTACTCTCAAAAAATATTTATTATCTTTCTCTATCTTTTATTTTAAGTAGCTTTTCTTTAGATTAATTATTATAGCCCCATTTGCCCCCATTTTTTAAAATCTTAATCTGAGGAATAGTATTTTTTTTTTTTTTAAGAAAATGGGTGGTTGATAAAAACGAAAAAGCTTTCAATTTTCGTGGAATATTATTTTATGAAATATTATATGATTGAAAATAGGAGAGAAAAATAAAATTTAATTAAATGATGTGCATATTAAACTAATTTTGAATAATAACTCGTGTTTTAAGTCAATCACCGAAATGCAGTGGCAAAGAGATATTTTGTTTGGTCAAATAATCCAACCTTATTTCTACTTCCATCGATCCTACACATCATCTGAAATTTTACTTTAGGATGTATAAATTGTGTGCACTATCTGAAATTTGGGTTGATTGGGATGATGAAGTACTCTGTGTTTGATTTGCAGTTCTTTTTATTTATTTTTTTCTTATTAAATGACCCCTAACTATGTGTTTTGATATTAAGGAAAAAAATGATTCTCACCTGGAAGAAGATGAACAGCTTGCTAAGACTCTTCAGGAAAGTTTAAACGTGGAGTCTCCACCTCGACTTGATTTTGGAGTTTTCTCCACTGACTCCACGTCCAATGTTAAGGGATAAAATTCACATCGAGTAAAGATGAAAACATTAACCAACTTATAAGGATTTACCCTTCTTAATAATGTTGACCTTTTAAGTTGAAATCTTGGATTTTAATATGGTATTAGTTATTAAATTCTAACGAGCAATTCGATCCGATCCATTAAGACTCAAAAAATGAGCATGCATATTTCAAGATTATATAGGCATGTTAAAAGATAAAATTTCACATCGAATAAAGTTGAAAATATAGACCAACTTATTGAATTTTATCCCTTAACAATACAGGAATTTTTGCTTGACAGTTTTACAGATTGCATAGCACAATTTCACTGAATGTTGGGAGAAAGAACAATTTCAAACCAGTCAATCAAGTGTTGCCACCTCATCATTTTGTACACTTCATTTGTTCAAGAAGCTTAATTAAAAAAATATAGCATTTCTCGTAATAGGTTCACGCATTAATGATTCACTTGATTGCAGCTGAAATATCAGAACAGAATCACCAACGTTAGACTTGGAACGTTTCAATGGTTTCATTTAAATGTATGTTGAACCTTTATTTGTTTCTTAGCACCCAAATAATTGGATAGCCAACGACATAATTGAACGATAATCTGAGCTCTCAAACTTATGAATCAAGTAAATAAGTATCATTTTATTGCTGTCGTACTGTCTGAGAATGGAATTTTCAAGAACTAAGTAGCTGAAATAGGGGAAAAGAAAACCTTAAAACCAATCTCTGCGCTTTAGAGATTGTCGTGTCATTTGGTTTTATATGATGTTCTAAGTGTACCATTTTGTATTGAATCGCCAGTATGAGAGGTAATTCTTCATGTTGAAGACATAACGTAAATAAAATAAGTTTGATAACTCTCTAACAGTTTAAACTTTTAGATGAAGTGGTTCAACATGAAGTAGAGCCCAGAGTTTCTATCATTATTTCGTGCTTATTTTTTGCAATGCTTGTTAAAAACACTCTCTTTTTCCAATGCTTCTAATGTGCATATTTGAACTCCCAGTTTTGTACAATTTTGCTACATGCTCCTCCTTTTGGCCTCAGTCATGCCATTAACTATCTGAAACATTTCCATGTAAGCTATGTGTCTCAGGTTTCAAGTACTGCAATCCATCTTGAATTCATTGTAAACACGTTTGGTAGGCAGGATTGGATAGTGCTGTACTATATTAATGAAGTAAAATAACTTAAAATATTGTTTATTGTACTGTACAGTCATTTGCAATACTGCATACCAAACATTTACTTGTGTGAAACATTCTTGTTACCCTTTTAATTATCACACTAACCACGATGTAGCATACTAAACATGTACTCTATGCACTTGCGTAAAACATTCTTGTTACCTGTTCAAGTATCATTCCATCCACTTGATAGATTGGGGATTTTCTCATTCATTTTCCATGGATACAGATCCCAGAAAATAGAGTTGGTCTTGTCTTTCAAAAAAGCGGACAGTTGGAATAGTATGAATATCTTCCAATAGTGTCTTTCTTGCATACGTGGCTGCGACTTAAAGGTACTCTTTCTTCGTCCATGATTGAGAAGTATTATAAATTAATGGTCGAAGTCAAGCATTATTTTTAACCGCACATTTCATAGGATCCACAACTAATATCCACTTATCCACCACTCATTGCTATTACATTATAATTTCAGCAACTAATAATTTTTATCCAAACAAGCACTTTGTACTAAAAAGATGCCTGCTAAGTCTAAAAAGTTCACTGCAAGTAAATAAGTTTGTTTTAAAAGAAAATAATTTCTTTTTGTGGCTACCATTAGAAGTTAGCAACTTATTCATATAGTATGGTAAAACTATTTTCAAAATAAGTACTTTATTTACTTGAAGAAAAAGGTAATGTAAAACATGATTAGAAACAATAGTTACTTATGAGTAACTTTGCACTTTTATTTAGCTTAGCTGAATCAAAGATTTTTATAATTCATAAAAGGAGGTTTGAGTTCTTAATTCAATACAGAGCACAAAACCTTACCAGTCCTTGACATATGAACACCAGATTGAATCAGATACATCAACAGCATATGGAAATGGCTTCAGAGAAGGCAACAAGGCATGCTCAAGTACGGCGTAGAAACAACACTCATCACATTCGGTTTACAGGAAGTTTCCCGTGTTAAGTTTATTGGTAATTTGCTGAGTTTCTTACTCATACATCAATTTTCATACTATCAAAAGGGCAAAATTGAAGAAAAATAGAGAAAAGAAAAGCTTAGATTGATGCAAAATACGAAAAAAGAATAATGAGTATCTAAAATTTATTGGGAATTAAGACTTCGATTTTTTTCCCTTAGTAAGGAAAGAAATGAATGAAATGCCTGCCAATGGAAAGCCCCGAGAAGCAAATAGCAAAATATCAGAACAATCCAGAGTTTACTGGTTAAACGACACATGAACTCTATATATCATTTTCAAGAAATTCTCCCCTGCAAAATTATTCATCTCTACATTTCCATCTTGAACTTTTTCAGAGAACATTGAATGAATAACTTAATTCATTAATAGATTTTGGTTATATATAATAGATCAAGAAATATAAAAACACATAGCTATAAAACAATTTAGAATTTAAGTTTTAAAAGGAAAGGCATCCTGTCTGAAAACGATGGATCAGAGTATTTTCCAGTGAGAATCTGTGATACAACATACTGATTTGCAGCCTCAGTGTAGTGAATCCCATCCCAATTCACATATTCTGTGCTGTCATTACAACCTTTGGCTGTCACTGAACTTCCATTCAATACCTTAGTTTGTCCACAGGTGATTCTACTGTCATAGTTCAAAGGTGGACCTCCATATCCACAGCATGCCATTATGGGCTCTTCAAATCCTGTACATAAATTGAGTGAAATAGTTGTGAGCCGAACATAGCAGAAATTACGATGTTGAAATGGATAAGGTGAGAAACGAGAATACATGGATGCTAAAATAGCTGTGTTGGGCTGTAAAGGATGAAATGTTCATGATGCTGAGATAGAAATAAGAGTATACACTAGTAAGTAGGGGTGACGTCGTTTTAAGATAAATGAAAGAAAACTTACGTGATGGGGACATGTTTTTGTGGATCTAATGAGGTTTCCATTCATATGAGTGACATGATCTCGACTCGATAGGTCACTAGATGGAGGGATAGACTAAAGCTAACATGACATAATGTATTTGTGAAGAAACTTGTTGCTTTAGATCTTTATGCATATCTAGCAATGAACGAAACAGAGTGACAAATAAAGAATTCATGTAGCCGACCCTAATACTAACCATATCGAGAATAGTTTGCTATGAGATTGTACTTGATTGTGAAAATATCCACATATGTGAAATTTGCATCTGGATATTGGCCTTGCAACTTTTTAGTGAGTGCATTAAGTTGCAGATTGAGAAGTCTTGAAGCTTGATTGTGGGTGCTAACACATCCAAGTTCATCAAGCTTTGATGGATCATTTCCAAATTTGGCAATATTCTGTGGTAAACAACCAAGGGGGCCTGTGTTATGAATCCAAAAGTTTCTTGCCTGTTGGTCGTATAATCTCTGCATAAAAATGAGACACAAAAATTGGGGGGAAAAAAAGGAAAAATGAAATAAGTAAGTTATGTAAAGTCATCTCTAGTCGATATGAAATATATGGTACTAAGAAAAATGAATATAACTGTCATGACATGTTAGCAAGTTATAGGAGAGATGATAATAGTGTAGCTAAAGGTGTAATGGGGCTGCACTGCCTTCGAGTTTTCTGGTGCCCGCATCTTCGTTGTTGACCGGGCTGGGACTTACAGAAAATATGAGGTCGTACACATGTAACTTTTACAGTTACTAACCTTGATGCCATCTTCAAATTCTAATAGAATTGATGGAATTGAAGCTAGAATTTGATCAAAGGTCTTAGAATAGAAAGCTCCTGCAAGATCATTCTGTCCTATATCAAACATGTAAAGCCCCTTCTGAAAAAAATCTCGAGGTGGGATGTACTTGTCATATTTGCTTGCTGCAGCCAAAAAAAAAAAAAAAAAAAAAAAAAAAAAAAAAAAAAAAAAAAAAAAAAAAAAAAAAAATTGTAAGTAAAATAGCCAATTATTTTAGAGAATTTAAGGGTATGCTATAATGTTATTCTATGATTTAAAATCACGGAAATAAATACTTTTAGCCTGAAGTTCTTGAACTCGAGTCTTGAATCTGAAAAATTGAGCCACTTGAATCCCAAATGAAAAAGGGCTAACAGAAGATGCAGTAGCTGGAAGTATGGTAGAACCTGCAGCTGCAAAGTTGCATCCTTTTCTAAAACTTGGTGCCCCAATAGCTTCCAAATATGCATTCAGAAACGGCAAGTCCATTGCATCCACTGCCACAACCACACACGATAATTTTGAGGTCGACTAAATGAATCATTTTTCATTGCTCTCTTTACTTTATTCGTTACTTTTACTTGAAGATCCAAGGACGATTGCTTTGTGAGTGAATAGAGGTGAGAAAGAATGAGGCTTTTAGTGAGAAAAAACACGTACTTAAAAAATCAATAATCAGACGGCCATCGCAGAATCTCCCAGATGGTTTTTTGAAGTAAATCTGACCATTTGGTGGATCAAGCCGTTCGCCAAGGCCAGCAACAAGATTACCTGTATCAGAATTCGAATCTCCAAAGTTGAAAACAGCAGGGTAATTGAAATCAATGGAGTTTGATAACGGAAATAAGATCAAGAACAAGGTGAGAATATGGAAGCTGGTCCAAGTGTTTGAAGCCATGTTCACAAGTAAACGAATGAAGTTTTGGCTTATAAGTGGTTTATAACTGCCAACCAAACGGCAGATTTGCTCTTTCCTATAATAGAAGGGCTGGCGGGTTTTTAGCTTTATTTTGTGTGTACTCAAAGTTATCTTTGAAATGCAGAGAACTGTTTTCCATTGCTTAAATACTGGTTATCCTTTGTAGGGTACTGCTGATGTTTTTGACTTCAACGCTCGTTGAATTCATGGGGAAATAATTATGATGAGATTTTTACCCTTTTGTTTTCCGACCATGCTATGTGTACAGGGCATTTTGCCAAATTGCTTTACAGGGATCCACTTGACAATATTTCATTGGGTGTCAGATGGAGCCCGGGGGCGGCGGGGGGGGGG